TTACAAATTGCCTCCTTAGGCCAGAACAGGGGTGCTGAAAAAAGGACTGTAACTCAAAGGGTCCTAGATATTGAAGCCCAGAAAGATAGAGCCACCCTGTCAAACACGGGATCCCTGAAGTGGTTAGGGCGCTTTAAACATAATTTCCAGAGGGCGCCATACCTAAAAGCTGAGATGCCAAGACACCTAAGACTGCTTTTACCAGGGCAAGATTTGAACAAATTGAATCCATGGAGAGACACGGCAGATTCAATCATATCCCATATGAAGAAAGACTCTGTATCTGTGAAGCCCCTGAAGTTGAAAATCTGAACCATATTTTACATAACTGCAATCTATATGAAAGAGAAAGGAAAAAAATATTTATGGCCTTTCATTTGCAATAAAATAAGCTGGGATACAGCGGCTAAAACCTCATTTTTGTTGGCTGGTTTTAACCCCATTCTGCCCTTTATTTGTTTAAAGCTGCTAAAAGGAGATCAGAGTACATAGATCAGATTGGGGTGCAGTGTAGGGGAGACGAGGATAGTTGATGCATATATCTATGGATAAGCTACATTGGTTTTAAGTTGACAAATACCTGTATATTTGTATTCTATTTTAATTGGACCAGACGTATGTTGTATGTTGTGTTTGCACTGTCTGTTTTTGATAAGTTACTTACTTAGGCGATCCCTCGTTGGACGAGTAAGATGGTCTTCCTTGATGACTATTTTTGTGGGTTTGTAGGTGGCTGTGGAGCCCTACTCTTGACCCACATCTTCTCCCACAGTGAAGGCATTGGTTTCCAGGTGGAAGGCGGTCCCGGTCGGGGTTGGCTTGACGCGCCTTCCTCCTGGCACGTTTCTCTCTTTCACCCTCCACTCGTGCCTCCTCGAATTCTGCAGCACTGCTGGTTACAGCTGACCTCCAGCTGGAGCGGTCAAGGGCCAGGGCTTCCCAGTTCTCAGTGTCTATGCCAGAGATTTTAAGGTTGGCTTTGAGGCCATCTTTAAATCTCTTTTCCTGTCCACCAACATTCCGTTTTCCGTTCTTAAGTTCAGAGTAGAGCAACTGCTTTGGGAGACGGTGGTCAGGCATCCGGACAACGTTGCCGGTCCAGCTGAGTTGATGGCAGAGGACCATGGCTTCAATGCTGGTGGTCTTTGCTTCTTCCAGTACGCTGATGTTTGTCCACTTGTCTTCCCAAGATATTTGCAGGATTTTCCGGAGGCAGTGCTGATGGAATCATTCCAGGAGTTGCATGTGACGTCTGTAGACAGTCCACGTTTCGCAGGCATAGAGCAGGGTTGGGAGGACAATAGCTTTATAGACAAGCACCTTGGTATCCCTACGGATTTTGATAAGGCCAACTGGCTAATCAATAAAAATTGTTGTTGTTGTTGTTCAAACTGTTTGATACAAACTGGGTGTTTGTTTGAGTCACCTCTGTGTAAATAATGGCAGAGCCCTGGCAACGTGACAATTGATTTTTTGGGGAATTTTCAAAGTTTTTATAAACAACATATTTTTGGATGGGTGTTTTTTACTGACACAAAAACATATATATATATATATATATATATATATATATATATATATAAAAAACCCTACATGAGCTATGAAACGAATTTAACAAAATTGATCCAACTTAGGACAACTAATGAAAAAGTTGCATGCCTCTACCGAACATCCAAAGTTGAAAGATTCCCCTTACCAGAAAGTAAGTGCTGTTTTAATTAAACCGTTTGATACAAACTAGGTGTTTGTTTGATTCACCTCTGCCTAATAGGCCTGTGGGTTTTGGTTCGTTATTTCGTTATTTCGTTATTAATTCGTTATTTTTACCATATCCGACGCGATTTCAAAACACATTTTTAAACCCGGAAGGGTTTTTAAATATCGAAACAGCAACTCCCAAAGTATTTACGAGCTTTCGCCCGTTTTGTAAATGGGGCGGGCGGGGCCTCCGCGCCTCCGCGCGCCATCCAACCGGCCTCCGCGCGCCATCCAATCGGCTCCGGCTCCTGCGCCCTCCTCCTCCTCCTCGGCACTTCCTGCAACACAGCTGAGCTGGGAGGAGGAGGAGGAGGAGGAGGGCGCAGGAGCCGGAGCCGCGCGCGCGCGCCATCCAATCGGCTCCGGCTCCTGCGCCCTCCTCCTCCTCCTCCTCCTCCTGGCACTTCCTGCAACACAGCTGAGCTGGGAGGAGGAGGAGGAGGAGGAGGGCGCAGGAGCCGGAGCCGCGCGCGCGCGCCATCCAATCGGCTCCGGCTCCTGCGCCCTCCTCCTCCTCCTCCTGGCACTTCCTGCAACACAGCTGAGCTGGGAGGAGGAGGAGGAGGAGGAGGGCGCAGGAGCCGGAGCCGCGCGCGCGCGCCATCCAATCGGCTCCGGCTCCTGCGCCCTCCTCCTCCTCCTCCTCCTCCTGGCACTTCCTGCAACACAGCTGAGCTGGGAGGAGGAGGAGGAGGAGGAGGGCGCAGGAGCCGGAGCCGCGCGCGCGCGCCATCCAATCGGCTCCGGCTCCTGCGCCCTCCTCCTCCTCCTCCTGGCACTTCCTGCAACACAGCTGAGCTGGGAGGAGGAGGAGGAGGAGGAGGGCGCAGGAGCCGGAGCCGCGCGCGCGCGCCATCCAATCGGCTCCGGCTCCTGCGCCCTCCTCCTCCTCCTCCCTCCTGGCACTTCCTGCAACACAGCTGAGCTGGGAGGAGGAGGAGGAGGAGGAGGGCGCAGGAGCCGGAGCCGCGCGCGCGCGCCATCCAATCGGCTCCGGCTTCTGCGCCCAGCGCGCGCTTCCTGCAACACAGCTGGAAGGAGGAGGAGGAGGAGGAGGGCGCAGGAGCCGGAGCCGATTGGATGGCGCGCGGAGGCCCGTTGTAAGGGGAGGCGCTCCTGCAACACAGCTGGGAGAGGAGGAGGAGGAGGAGGAGGAGGAGGAGGAGGCGAGGAGGAGGGTGGCCTTGGCGCAGGAGCCGGACCCGGAGCGCAGGGAGACCAATACCATCTTGAAGGCTGCATCCAGGCTCTTGTGAGTTTTCTTTTCAGGGCTGTATGTTGACCATGTTCCAGAAGCATTCTCTCCTGACATTTTGCCCACATCTATGGCAGGCATCCTCAGAGGTCTGTTGGAAACTAGGCAAATGGAGTTTATCTATGGAATGTCCAGGGTGGGAGAAATGAAAGCCATTCAATGCTAATCAAGGTGACCAACTGCAACATTCACACTTACAAAATGTTTTGTAAATATTTACGAAATTTCGTAAATAACAAAACATTTTTTTGGAAAGTTTTGTAAATATTTTAAATATCGAAACAAAAAAACACCCCAATTACAAATCGATTTTAGAAACAAATTTTTTCTTGATCAAACAGGCCTACTGCCTAAATAACGGCAGAGCCCTGGCAATGTGACAATAGATTTTTGGGGAATTTTCAAAGTTTTTATAAGGAACATATTTTTTTTAAAAAAAAAAAAACTACATGAGCTATGATACAAATTTAACAAAATTGATCCAACTTAGGACAAGTAATGAAAAAATGGCAACGTGAGAATAGATTTTTGGGGAATTTTCAAAGTTTTTATAAGGAACAGTTTTTGTTCTATATTCTGTGGCTGAGTGCTATCTTTATGTTTTATGTTTTGGACTATTAAAACGGCCAGAAAGTAAGTGCTGTTTTAATTAAACCGTTTGAGTCAAACTGGGTGTTTGTTTGATTCACCTCTGCCTAAATAATGGCAGAGCCCTACCAATGTGACAATAGATTTTTGGGGAATTTTCAAAGTGTTTATAAGGAACATATTTTTTATTTTAAAAAAACAAAAAACTACATGAGCTATGATACAAATTTAACAAATTTTATACAACTTAGGACAACTAAGGAGTCCCCGGTGGCGCAGTGGGTTAAAGCACTGAGCTGCGGAGCTTGTTGATCGAAAAGTCGCAGGTTCGATTCCGGGGAGCAGCGTGAGCTTCTGCTGTCAGCCCTAGCATCTGCCAACCTAGCTGTTTGAAAACATGCAAATGTGAGTAGATTAATAGGTACTGCTCCGGCGGGAAGGTAGCGGCGCTCCATGCAGTCATGCTGGCCACATGACCTTGGAGGTGTCTACGGACAACGCCGGCTCTTCGGCTTAGAAATGGAGATGAGCACCACACCCCAGAGTCAGACATGACTGGACTTAATGTCAGGGGACTACCTTTACCTTTACCAGGACAACTAATGAAAAAATGGCATGCCTCTACCAAACATCCAAAGTTGAAAGATTCCCCTTACCAGAAAGTAAGTGCTGTTTTAATTAAACCGTTTGATACAAACTGGGTGTTTGTTTGATTCACCTCTGCCTAAATAACGGCAGAGGCCTGGCAACGTGACAATAGATTTTTGGGGAATTTTCAAAGTTTTTATAAGGAACATTTTTTAAAAAAAACCTACATGAGCCATGATACAAATTTAACAAAATTGATCCAACTTAGGACAAGTAATGAAAAAATGGCATGCCTCTACCAAACATCCAAAGTTGAAAGATTCCCCTTACCAGAAAGTAAGTGTTGTTTTAATTAAACCGTTTGATATAAACCGGGTGTTTGTTTGTTTGATTCACCTCTGCCTAAATAACCAAACATCCAAAGTTGAAAGATTCCCCTTCCCAGAAAGTAAGTGCTGTTTTAATTAAACCGTTTGATACAAACTGGGTGTTTGCTTGATTCACCTCTGCCTAAATAACCAAACATCCAAAGTTGAAAGATTCCCCTTCCCAGAAAGTAAGTGCTGTTTTAATTAAACCGTTTGATACAAACTGGGTGCTTGTTTGATTCACCTCTGCCTAAATAACCAAACATCCAAAGTTGAAAGATTCCCCTTACCATAAAAAATGAGGAAAAACGAGTGCCATTTGAAGGAAAAAATTTATAGCTCCCTGCTCAGTGCTCAAAAGCTTTTGACTAGATGCTTTTTGCATGTGTTTGGGTGACAGCAGGAGGAAGGGAAGTGGGCTGTGCTTCGCTTGTTTCTCCCATTGTCAGGGAGGGGGAAGAGGGAGGGGAGAGAAACTCTGCAGATTCCTGTACCATCTCTCTTTCTCTCTTCCTCTGTCTGCATGAGTACAGGAGAACTCAGGATTGCTGCGCCTTTCTCTCTCTTTCTCTCTCTCTCCCACCCCTCTTTCTCTCCCTCCAATTTCTCTCTCTTTCTCTCCAATTTCTCTCTCTCTCTCTCCTTGCAATTGAAGCCGGAGGGGATCAAGAGGACGGGATTGGCTTGTGCCAGAAGGCGAGCACAGAGAGAAGATCGAGGAAGAAAGAGAGCTTGGAAAGCAGCCGCAGAGGAAAGCCAAGCTGCCTCTCTTGTCAATTCTCTGGTCCATTTGGTCGGGGAAGAAGAGCTCTGGAAGTTTGCTGCTCTTGTCTTCGCCGGAGATGCTCCAAAGCTGGCCAAAGCTGTGCTTTTGACCCGGCTCACCTGTTACCGCGGGGTGTTGGTTTTCTCTCTCGCTTTTGGGAACTTCTGGACGGATCTTCGGAAGAAGAAGAGGCAGTGGCGGGGCTTCTCGGAGGAGCAGCATGGGCTGGATCGGCTGGATCGCTTGCCTTTGCTGCTGGGGATGGGGAGTCTTCCTTGCGGCACAAGGACAGCATGCCAAGAGCGACGTGCCGCGGCTAAAACTGTCCTACAAAGGTGAGCCTGCCTCCTTCCCTCCTTTCCCTCCTTCCCTGCCTTGTGGGAGCCTCTTTCGCTCAGTCCGATGCGTCTTTTATGCGAGGTTTCCTCGCCAACCTTCTTTTTGCTTCTGTGACTTGCTCCTTCCCTCCTTTCCCTCCTTCCCTGCCTTGCGGGAGCCTCTTTCGCTCAGTCCGATGCGTCTTTTATGCGAGGTTTCCTCGCCAACCTTCTTTTTGCTTCTGTGACTTGCTCCTTCCCTCCTTTCCCTCCTTCCCTGCCTTGCGGGAGCCTCTTTCGCTCAGTCCGATGCGTCTTTTATGCGAGGTTCCCCCGCCAACCTCCGTTTGCTTCTGTGACTTGCTTTGTTGGGGGGTGGGGGGGTGGTCCTTCTCTCTTTTTATAGACGGGCAAAGAGAGAGGGGGTTTGGGAGTCCAGGGGTTGGTTATTTTGGGGGGGTGCGACCATTTCGACCCCCTTGGAAAGTCAACGCGTTGGCTGAGCCCAAGCGAGGAAGGGAGAATGGAAAGGAATGGCAAGGCGCTCTTCCCAAGTTCCTCCAGCCGGGCACACCCCCCTTTCTCTTCCCTCCAGCCCCCCCTTTCCTTTTGGGAGGACTTTAAGAGCGGATGGAGCAACCCTTGGCTTTCAGGATGGGTCCACACACATATATATACACACACACACACACACATATATACACTCAATAATAATAATAATAATAATAATAATAATAATAATTGCTCATCCGCACTCCACTGGAGACTTTTCCTCTTGTGTGTGTGTGTATATATATATGTGTGGACCTATCCTGAAAGCCAATAATAATAATATTAATAATAATAATAATAATAATAATAATAATAATAATATTGCTCATCCGCACTCCACTGGAGACTTTTCCTCTTGTGTGTGTATATATAATAATAATAATAATAATAGTAATAATAATAATAATAATATTGCTCATCCGCACTCCACTGGAGACTTTTCCTCTTGTATGTGTGTGTGTATATGTGTGGACCTATCCTGAAAGGCAATAATAATAATAATAATATTAATATTGCTCATCCACACACACACAAGAGGAAAAGTCTCCAGTAGAGTGCGGATGAGCAATTATTATTATTATTATTATTATTATTATTGGCTTTCAGGATAGGTCCACACACATATATATACACACACAAGAGGAAAAGTCTCCAGTGGAATGCAGATGAGCAATATTATTATTATTATTATTGGCTTTCAAGATAGGTCCACACATATATATACACACACACACAAGAGGAAAAGTCTCCAGTGGAGTGCGGATGAGCAATTTTATTATTGTTGTTGTTGTTGTTGTTGTTGTTGTTGTTGTTATTATTATTGGCTTTCAAGATAGGTCCACACATATATATACACACACACACAAGAGGAAAAGTCTCCAGTGGAGTGCGGATGAGCAATTATTATTATTATTATTATTATTATTATTATTATTGGGTTGTTGTAGGTTTTTTCAGGCTATATGGCCATGGTCTAGAGGCATTCTCTCCTGACGTTTCGCGTGCATCTATGGCAAGCATCCTCAGAGGTAGTGAGGTCTGTTGGAACTAGGAAAAAGGGTTTATATATCTGTGGAATGACCAGGGTGGGACAAAGGACTCTTGTCTGCTGGAGCTAGGTGTGAATGTTTCAACTGACCACCTTGATTAGCATACAATTAGCATACAATAAGGAGCCCCCGGTGGCGCAGTGGGTTAAACCCCTGTGGCGGCAGGACTGAAGACCGACAGGTCGCAGGTTCAAATCCGGGGAGAGGCGGATGAGCTCCCTCTAGCTCCAGCTCCTCATGCGGGGACATAGAGAAGCCTCCCACAAGGATGATAAAACATCAAATCATCTGGGCGTCCCCTGGGCAACGTCCTTGCAGACGGCCAATTCTCTCACACCAGAAGCGACTTGCAGTTTCTCAGGTTGCTCCTGACACGACAAAACAAAAAAAGCATACAATGGGCTGACTGTGCCTGGAGCAAAGTTTTGTTGAGAGGTAATTAGATGTCCCTACCTTATTATTATTATTATTATTATTATTATTATTACGACCAGCAATAAGAACAATAGTAACAATATTATTATTAATATTATCAGTATTAATAATATTATGATGATTATTCTCAACAATAATAATATTAACAACTAGCCATCTGCTGCCACGCATTGCTGTGGCCCAGTCTAGTGAACTGGAAAATAAAGTAATGAGAAAGTGTTGTAATTTCTTTATGCTTGTGGGTAAAGAGTACTTCTTGTTTCTTTGTCAGTGTTGATGTGGAGATTGTCTGGTTTGCCTACTCTGGTACATTCAACATATCATTGTCCTTCTTTAGGGGTCCCTTTCAAATCGATGATATTATATCTGTCATATACGTGTGTGTGTATGTGTGAATCATATATATCTATCTATTCCTATGGTTGGATGGCTCTTTGTCAGGAGGGCTTCGATTATGTTTTATTGCCCTGGTGAAGGGAGTTGGACTGGATAGCCTTAAGGCAGCATTTTTCAACCTGGGAGTTGGGACCCCTGAGGGGGTTTGTGGGGTGTGTGTGAGAGGGGTCGCCAAAGACCAACAGAAAACACAGTAATTTCTGTTGGTCAAGGTGGTTCTATGTGGGAGGTTTGGCCCAATTCCATCGTTGGTGGGGTTCAGAATGCTCTGTGATTGTAGGTGAACTATAAATCCCAGTTACTACAACTCCCAAATGTCAAGATCTATTTTCCCCAAACTCCACCAGTGTTCACATTTGGGCATTTGGGGTATCCATGCCAAGTTTGGGCCAGATCCATCACTGTTTGAGTCCACAGTGATCTCTGGATGTAGGTGAACTACAATGCCAAAACCAAAGGACACTGCCCACCAAACTCTTCCAGTATTTTCTGTTGGTCATGGGAGAACTGTGTGCCAAGTTTGGTTCAATTCCATCATTAGTGGAGTTCAGAATGTTCTTTGATTGTAGGTGAACGATAATTCCCAGCAACTACAACTCCCAAATGACAAAATCATTTTTAGTGAAAAACATATATTGGGTTGTTAGGTGTCTTGTGTCCAAATCTGGTGTCAATTTGTCCAGTGGTTTTTGAGTTCTGTGAATATCACAAACGAACATTACATTTTTATTTATATAGATTATCAATATTAATAATATATGATTTATTATTTTTATTACAACCAGCAATGATAACAATAGAAACAATATTATTATTAATACTCTATCAATATCAATAATATTATATGATTATTATCATCATCAATATTAATAACAATGTTAATATTGTCAGAGGCGGCCCTAGGTAATTTTCAATGGTAAGCAAACAGTATTTTGCCCCCCCCCCCAACCAATCACTGATATATATTTTCTGTTCGTCGTGGGAGTTCTGTGTGCCATACTTGGTTCAATTCCATCATTGGTGGAGTTCAGAATGCTCTTTGATTGTAGGTGAACTATACATCCCAGTAACTACAGCTTGCATATGTCAAGGTCTATTTTCCCCCAAAAGCGCCTCAAGAGCACCCCTGGGCAAAATCAACTATACTGCAAATGCTTATTTTGCGTAATTGGTTGAGCCACCCCTGAATATTGTTAATATTATTAACATTAATATCCATATTAATAATTAATATTAATAATTATTAAATTATTATTATCATAATAATCAATAAAATGTTCTTATTAATAATTTTATTAATATCATTATTACTATTATTAATACTATTATTATAAATGATGATAATAATAATATAATACTTTATTTATATCCTGCCCCTCTCCACAAGGGATCAGGGCAGCTCACGACAAAATCAAGTCACAATGCATCCATAAGATGAAACCAAAAAGACAAGACATCCTATATAACCAGTAACCATAAACAAATAAATTGAAAACAATCTATATAAATAAAAATGTAATGTTTGTTTGTGGGGTTACATAATTTAGAAACCACTGGACGAATTGAGACCAAATTTGGACACAAGACACCTATCAGGCCACATTTGATGTCAATTTGTCCAGTGGTTTTTGAGTTATGTTAGTCCCACAAACTAACATTACATTTTTATTTATATGGACTAGCTATCCCCTGCCACGCGTTGCTGTGGCCCAGTCTGGTGATCTGGAAAATAAAGCAACGAGAAAGTGTTGATTTCTAATATATGTAATTCCTTTATACTTGTGGGTAAACAGTATTTCTTGCTGTTTCTTTGTCAGTGTTGATGTGGAGAGTGTCTGGTTTGCCTACTCTGGAGCATGCAACATATCATATCATATTCTTGGAGCCCCCGGTGGTGCAGTGGGTTAAACCCCTGTGCCGGCAGGACTGAAGACCGACAGGTCGCAGGTTCGAATCCGGGGAGAGGCGGATGAGCTCCCTCTATCAGCTCCAGCTCCTCATGCGGGGACATGAGAGAAGCCTCCCACAAGGATGATAAAAACATCAAATCACCCAGGCGTCCCCTGGGCAACGTCCTTGCAGAAGGTTAATTCTCTCACACCAGGAGTCACTCCTGACACGACAAAGAAAATCATATTCTTTAGGGGTCCCTTTCAAATCTATGATACTATATCTCTCTCTGTGTGTGAATCATATCTATCTATATATATCTATGGCTGGATTGCTCTTTGTCTGGCGGGCTCTGATTACATTTTCTTGCCCTGGTGAAGGAAGTTAGACTGAATGGCCTTAAGTATTTTCTGTTGGTCATGGGGGTTCTGTGTGGGAAGTTTGCCCCAATTCTGTCATTTGTGGGATTCAGAATGCTCTTTGATTGTAGGTGAACTATAAATCCCAGTAACTAAAAATCTCAAATTAATCCCAAATTAATCCTCTCATTTCTTGAGATGTTTGTATAAGGGACAAAAATGCATCTTAGAACTGAAGAAATACATAATTATTATTTGCCAGCCATCAAAAACTGTGGGAAGGGGATGAAGCCAGTTCAGGAAAGTTGGTGTTTCTTCCTTTTTTTTTTGGGGGGGG